GCTCCAGCCAGCAAAGTTGTCTCCAAATATCAGGTTCAAGAGGCAAAACATGGATTTGCAATTGTCTGTTGGACAACTGCTATGCATCCCATCCCATCCCATCCCATCTCATGAGCCCTGGCCCTGGCTTTGGGAATTCTGCAACTATCCTGGGTACATCCCAGGTCTCACCCTAGTGTGTGTGGGGGCGGGTGGGGGCGGGGGGGAAGTGCAGAAAGAGCCTCAAGGAAGCATTTTTGTCCACCCAGAAAAGATAGTGATCAGCTCTGACCTACCTACAATCCCCCCAGGTTGGATAGACCCAGCCTTACCATTTAGAAGCTGAGGGATCCTAGCAAATAACTCAGCCCTTCTGAGCCTCCGTTAACTTATCTGAAAATGGGGTTATCAGATACCTTCCTTTTAGGGTTGTTGTGAAAACGCAATGAGAGATGTGTGAAAAATGCCTAGAACAGTCACTGAGATGCATTATAGAGTCCATGAATAGTACCTTTCTCCCTCTCTTTTTTTTCATCCCTACCTTCCTTCTCTCCCTCTCTCTCCCCCTCTTTCCATCTTTCCTCCTGGGGCCTACCTTATGGAGAAGTAAATTTACTTTAACACATTGAAGAATGGACCAATAAGGGTCCGGTTTTATTATTTTGTAATAAAACACTGACGGGTCCTCAGAGACCCCTAGGAACGCCTGTTAGCCAGTGAACTTCATGCAAGCCTCCTGGCTCCGTGCTCATGAATTGCTGGTCAGCCCGGGGCTGTGCATCTATCTTCTCGAACGTGGTAATCACAGAGCGAGTATAAATGCTAAAGAAAGAACCAGGCAGGGCAGGGCAGGGCTGAACCACATGAGGGATGCTGTGAAGATTTCAGGGAGCCCGCGAGAGGCCAGGAGGTGGGCGAGGCAGAAGGACAAGCTGTCTCGCCCTCGCTGGCATTTAGGGACAATTATGCCCTATTAATGGCTGACATCGGAGCTCTGCCCTGCATCTGAGCTGAGCCAGGGCGGCCCACAGATGTGCGCGGCCCACAAATATGCACTTGGAAACTCCTGAACTTTCAGTGACTTGTCGCCAGCTGATCTGATCGGCAATTACGTTTTATTTTGGGGCCAGGGAGGCAGCAGAGAACCGGGAAAATTATAAGACATCGGAATGCAGTTTTTCTAAGAATATCAACTACAAACTTTTTTAACCGATTGTTGTTTCAATGGCTAGAGGTTTGCAAGGCACTAAAATAAGAAACCTTGGGCACTAAAATCAGATTATAGCCAATTTTCCCAAGAGAGGTTTTAAGCTTTTTTCCAACAAAAATCTGCGTGCCTTTTTTTTTGGAGGGGACAAGGGATAATTCCTGCCAAGACAAGTTTTCTGGGGACAGTGAGCACATCATAGAGATAAACAGATGTGTCGTCTGCTCTGGATTTGAATCTTGACTCTGCTTCTTACTAGCGGTGTGACCTTGGGCACGCTGTATGACCTTCTGGCTCAGTTCTCCGATGCATAAAATGAGGGTGTAATGCCTGGCCTGGGGCTTATTATAAGCACGGGATGGAATGTGCATAAGCATCTGGTCTATGGCATCAGTACACAGTAACAAGACGGTGCCTTCTTGCCGTTATGTTGGTTTCTTATCGTCTGAAATAAACGGTTCCTGTTTTCACCACCATCTGTCCAACGCAAATACCCAATCAGCATCCAAGGGGGTGTCCCCTGCCTCTGTGACACCACCAACCCAGGCTGAGCAACGCCAACAGTCTGGCTGGTAGGAAAACGTGAGAAACCAGCCACCAGGCCTGATCAGGTGCAAAGGTGCAAGTGCCTCATGGACACAAAACCTAACTCAGCGGTTCTCAACCTGTGGGTCGCGACCCCTTTGGGGGTCGAATGACCCTTTCACTGGGGTCGCCTAAGACCATAGGAAAACACATATATAATTACATATTGTTTTTGTGATTAATCACTATGCTTTAATTATGTTCAATTTGTAACAATGAAAATACATCCTGCATATCAGATATTTACATTACGATTCATAACAGTAGCAAAATGACAGTTATGAAGTAGCAACGGAAATAATTTTACGGTTGGGGGTCACCACAACACGAGGAACTGTATTTAAAGGGTCGCGGCTTTAGGAAGGTTGAGAACCACTGACCTAACTAAACTCTCCCCGTAGCGCCCCAGGGCAGCCCAAAGGAGCACCAACAGTTTCTCCAAGAAGCGCCATAGACCGACCTTGTGTGGGAGTGGAACATAATTGCAGCTTGTAAAGGAAACCAGCCTAAGAAAAAACATCCCGGGACAACATCCCGAGGAAACAGGGCCATCTTCCTGCAGGGACACTTTCCTGGTGACCAGCGACAGGGGCCAGACAGCTTGCCCTTGGCATTCTTGATGGAGGGCGGTGACTCAGCCACCTACGCCCTCTCAGATGCTCCCAGAGCTGCCTCTCCAGCCCCATCTTCCCTCCCAGGTCCGGGGCTACTGCTGCTAAATGAGCATCTCACCCACACAAGCTCCCAGCACCACCGAGTGAGAGATGGACTCTACCCAGGAGGGTTCTCTCTCCTTTGACTGGCTTACTTGCCCGTCTACTCACTCATGCCAACCCTGGGATGGAACCAGATGTGGAAGGCCAACCGCACGCACTGCTCACCCTTTTGTGCCCAGCGCCTGGCACTGAGCTGCACAGAGTGGATACGCATAATAGCAGCTGAAGGAGTGAATGGGTGAAATGAATCCGGGGATGAACAAACTCCGTAAGAGGCACCAAGGAAGGCATATCTTCTCATGTAAGCCTGCAAGGCTGGTATTTCTGTTTTTAATCTTTTATTGATTTCAGAGAGGAAGGGCTTGCCCGTCTACTCACTCATGCCAACCCTGGGATCGAACCAGATGTGGAAGGCCAACCGCACGCACTGCTCACCCTTTTGTGCCCAGCGCCTGGCACTGAGCTGCACAGAGTGGATACGCATAATAGCAGCTGAAGGAGTGAATGGGTGAAATGAATCCGGGGATGAACAAACTCCGTAAGAGGCACCGAGGAAGGCATATCTTCTCATGTAAGCCTGCAAGGCTGGTATTTTTGTTTTTAATATTTTTATTTTTTTCAGAGAGGAAGGGTGGTGGAAAGGGAGATAGAAACATCAATGATGAGAGAGATTATTGATCGGTTGCCTCCTGTACATTCCACACTGGGGATCAAGCCTGAAACCCGGGTATGTGACTGGGAATCAAACTGTGACCTCCTGGTTCATAGGTCAACGCTCAACCACTGAGCCACACCAACCAGGCAAGGTGGTATTTTGAGGACCATGTTACAAAGGCAGGAAAGTGGCCTCAGAGGGGTTAAGTGTTTTGCCCACATTCACATAGCTAATAAGAGAGAAAGCCATTCTTGGAACCTGGTCTGACTCTAAAGTTAAGACTTCTAACACCGAATCCATCCTCATGACCCTGATACTGATGAATCATATTTACACAGCCTCTGACACATCAGAGTTCTTTCACCCTCCCCACATCCCAGGGAGACGGGAAAAATGAGCCTAAAGGAGGACTCACTGTGCATCCAAGATTGCACTACCAGTTGGTGGTGAGGTAGGAACTTGAACCTGGACATTCATTTTTCAATCACAGATATTTGGGGGCACCTGCTAGAGGCCAGGCCCTGCGTTAGGGCTGGGGACACAGCAGTGAACAGCACAGACACAGCCCAGAGGGCCATCTACTTCAGACAAAGGCTCTTCCCCTGATGCCATATGTTGCCATGACATTCCTCAGGAAAGCAGCAGTGCTCTGGCAGTTTGGTTTGAAGGCGGGATGATCTGAGAACAGGATGGCAACAATAAAGAGGGAAGCGGCTTGCATCTCGGTTGCTTGTGCTGTTGTCAATGTGGCCGACCAGAAATCCTGCCCTTTGTCGAAGCCGGCTCTGCCTCTTCCTAAGGACAGAGAACGGGCCGGGAGACTTGCCTGCTATCATCGAAATATTTGGGCACCAAACAAAACCCGAATATCAAGTTCCCAGTAAAGGAAGCCCCAGTTTGCTGTGGCCTAGCCCACCGAGCCCCGAGGTGGAGGGAGGGGCTGACGGAGCAGTGCATTGACCTGGGTAGGCCACCTGTGATGAGCAACCTCCGGAGCCCACTGTTCCAGGAGGAAGTGGAGGTGAGCGACAGGAAGAGATGTGGAATGTGAACATCCGCAGGCTCGTCCCTTTGCAAAACTTCTGAAAGTCCAGTACCTTCGAGGACCAAGCAGTGTTGCCCTCCACCAAGCAACTTGGTCCACAGACACACCAAATTAAGAATTTGATATAAAATAAAGCTCAGAGACTATGGCCAAACCAGTAATTTTTTTTCCCTTTCTTAACAGCGATCGAAGGTCAGCGGACGGGCCACTAATTGCTCACTCACCACTTCTCAGCGTCAAGTGCCAACGTTCCCACAAAAGGACCAGCCTCGGAGCCCCCTCATCAAGACCCACACACATCATGGCGACCGGGACTCCTCCCTCTGCTCCCAGATCTCCACGGAGAACACTTTTCCGCGGTTGGAGCGTATTTTTGCTCAGAGGAACTCTTTTCACAATCAAGTCCAATTTATACCGTGACAGTCACTTAGCAAAAATCCCACGCACACAGGGCGTCCTGCCAAAATGGCGCAGTGAGGTGGGACTCTTGGGGCGTTCCTGGGCTTTCATAATCACGTTCACCCCCATGTGCACCTTCTTTGGGGTGCCAAAGGGGAGACCGCACAGCCCACCAGCTCTGCCATTGGAGTCCCACTGCTGGCACCGTGTGGATCTCGGGGGCTCACTCCAGCACGACCCCATGGAAGTACCTAATTCTAACCATTGTACAGAAAGCAACCACTGAAGGTAACAGGCCAGGCAGTGCAAGGAGTTTCAAATCCCCAAAGCATAGCATTTCGGAGTTTTTCATCGCCCGCCCCTACCCGCCCCCCAAATCGATGCACGGAGACAACAGGAAGCTCCCGGGCTTACCTGGGTCGGGTTGTAGAGCTCCTGCAGGGGGCTTCGAGACCCCTTCCGGCAGCAGATGTCCACGCCGAAGGGGTTCCTCCGCATGACTGAGGAGAGAAAGCGAAGGCTCATCAGCAATGAGCAACAAACGTGTGTTGTCTGACAAAGGAAAAGGCACAGGGCGGGAAGAAGAAACAGGTGGGAAGGAAGACAGATAAGCAGCTTCTAGTGCAGCTGGACCTTTAACGGCACCGGGCCACCCTGCCTTCCCAACATCCAGGCATCGCCACGCCCGGCAGGGCAGCGATAATGCTAAAAGTTCTTCCCAGCAAATATTAAGGCAACCACACAGGCCTCTAAAACTCGGAAATGAAGCTACTTACAAAAGACAGTGTAAAAGCTGTTCTAAGACAGTGAGTTGTGCCAGCACCAGCCTTGGTGACCTTCCTAAGAGTCCACCCTCTTGCCCACAGCGTCCTCCCTCAACAGTCAGTCAGAACCTCTTGCTCCTGGTCCCCAAGGCATCCGGTCCCCAGAACAGTACCGTGCCCCCCACTCCCCGAGCCCCCAGGGGGGCTCTTCCACGGAATGAGTCCGGGGCCTGGCCTCCCAAAGCCTCTGGTAAATGAGGTTCTTTGTCATGAAAATATCGGCTGGAGGCAGAAAGGAAGAGCCTGCGTGGTTCCGACAGACAGAGGTGGCGCGTACAATGAACAAAAGAGGGGAATTAAGCGAACATCTCAAAAGCCCAACGTCGAGGACTACTTTTAAATGGAAAAGATTCTCTCTGATCTCATTCTTCTTGTTCCCAAACACCCTCCCTCTGTGCAGCCCCTCCTCGTTAGCCGTCTGATAACCATTTGTTGAAGGGAGGGAGGGGAATGAATGAATGGACCAGTGCCTTCTTCTCATACAGGAGGCGATTTTCTTGTGCACAGACATGCTGGGGGCATGATGGGAACGAGCAAACGGGTCCTCTCATGGCCTAAACATTCCACCCCTACAGAGCGGCAGCAGGACATTCTCTGCAGCAGGCAGCCGGGGTTTGGATCCTGGCTCTACCACTCACGAGCTGTGTGACCTTAGGCAAGGTGCCTGGCCTTTCTGTGCTTCTGTTTCTTTGTCTGTCAAACGGGAATGAGAAAAGTGAGCCCAGAAAAGTCGGCACGGGTGCTACCCGTCACTACCAAAACCAATAAGCCGAGGCAAGGGTTGTATCTTTATGGGGGGCGGAGGGCTTTATTCAGGCAGCTGGCAATCCGAGAGGGTGGCGGGTTACATACCCTAAAAGACCGTCTTACATCTCATCTCCAGCCGACACTTTTTTATAAAGAGAAGAAAAATGTAGGGGAAGGGTTTGGAATTCAGGGGAAAAGGTTAATCAGATAAGAGCTACAGTCGGTGCTTTTCCGAGCACCCCTTCATCATCAGCTGACCGGTGACTCTCTGCATCCTGAGCACAATGGCTTGGACACTGTCTTGGTGGCTGCAGTCTTCCTGAGGCACAAAGGTCGAATCCCTTGCGGTCTCCTCGAGTCAGGCCAGGCCCAGCCAGACATTCCAGTCCCGGGAACAATAGCTTTCTACGGGCACCAGTTCCCAAGCTTCTTAACTGCATAACTAAAGCGAACCATTTTTAACCGCTTGAGTTCCCCATCAAACGCACGTGGCTCCCTGGGTTGGCTGTGAGGATTAAATGAGTTACTACTATATGCAGAATGCTTCAACTGGGTGGCGGCAAAAAAAAAAAAAAGTGTGTGTTAGAAATTTCTGAAGCTACTGGAGATCATCAACTAGATTGGCACATAATATATGACAAAAATCACTCCCCCTGTCCTTGGGAGGGGACGCGGGAACTTCTCCATTCTTGAGCCGTCGGGTGAGCTGATGAGAAGTTACCAGACCTCAGGTCGGGCTCCGGATTCTCTGCCAGGAAAGCCACGCAGACCAACCTGCGGTCCAAAAGGTGAGGGAAGCCATCGCCAGTTGCCGATCACTTCTGGAAGGTCTCCGGGTGAACCCACTCCTCATGCACCTCTCCTTGGACTTGTCACTTTGAGCCGCATGAACACCCCGAGGGTAAGTCCTCAACTCCCGGGACACTCCAAGCTGCCTTTTCTCTCTCCTCTCTCCCCTCCGACAGCCAGGCCAGCAAACTTTCTCTACGAAGGGCCAGACGCTGTTTTGGCTTTGTGCCATACGGTCTCTGTCGTCACTTCTCCACTCGGCCACACAGACCACGCAGAAATGAATGGGCGCAGCTGTGCGCCGCACATCGATGGACGCTGAAATCTGAATTCCACCTCATTTTCACATGTCAGGAAATAGGATTTTTCTTTTGTTTTTAACCACTTCACAAACATAAATGATGGGCCAGATGTGGCCCCCAGGCTGCAGTTTGCTGGCCCCTGCCCTAGAGAACGGCCCCAAGTATTCTTGGGGTCAGCAGTGTGATCCCCAGCGCACCGCCGCGGCCTACAGCCCTCTCTGGGCAGGAGGCGATCTGCGCGCAACTGTCCGCACATAAAAGCCATTAGAATTTGATTAGGCTGATGGGGAAACACTGCTCCTTTGTTCCCCCACGGTTGCCTCCAGAAGAGGGGAGAAAAAAATCCATGTTGTGTTTTTCTTTAATTTACTACTTCATTTTTCATTTCCACCCAAAACGAGGTAAACTGTTAAATGCACGCAAGTTGCCCTTGGTGCACAATGACATAGCAACACTTCGGAGGAGAAAAAAAACAGCCATAAAGCTTGTAAAATTATGCCCACGCCATGCAAGATTAAACTCTCCCCATGGCGGCAGACCGGCTGGCCGAGACCTGTGGCTGCGGGACCGCCACGGAGAGAACCCCAGCGTGCAATCCATTAAAAGTCAGCTTTTATGGGGGGCAGTATTATTTAATTGGTTTATTTTTCTAATACAAGGCCTTTAAAATACTTTGACCGTGTGGGGCCTGCAGCACGGGTTCTTTCCCGAGGCCGCCTGCCCTCGGCGGCTCCTGCAGCCCTGCCCGGACTTCACCGGGCGCCGTGTGAAGCAGTTTTGGCACCCCAGGCCACAGAAGCCAAAGGGGCCCTGTGTGCTTTTTATGGGAATGATCACAATCCCACCATTTATGGGGCGCTCACTGTGTGCCAGGCACTTGGTGAAGCGTGACCCTTCACACAGTGAAGGAAGTACCTGCCTTTTACAGATCACCTCCTAAACTTCAGGAGCCTGACCAAGATCAAGGCCACATGGGTGGAAAGTTGCCAAGCTGAGACTCAAACCTGACGACTGGACTCTTCCTATCCAATGACAGGACCTACTGCAGGCCTGGGAGACAGAAGAAGGGCTGCCAATCACGCACTTCAATGTGAGTCCATCGACCCTGTGTGTCTCAGGGGAAAAAGGCATCAGAGGAGGCTGAGCCACCAAGACACACAGACGGTGGCATTTACCAGTCAGAGAGCGTTCAGGGCACAGCAAGAAGTCACACATTTAATCGGCACAACAGCCCTATGGGGTGGGTACCACGAATGTCCCCACTTCACAGATGGGAATACTGAGCCTCGATCTCAAGACCTGTAAGAGGGGAAGACAGGATTCTAGCACAGGCAGCCTATGCTCTCAGGGGCCAGGCAGGACCAATGTCAAGTGCCCAATCCACCACGTCTCAATCGTTTCTTCCTGGCCCAAGACCTGGTTGGCTGGCCACTTCTAGGACAGGTGATTTAAAATGTAATCCAGTGTTATAGGGTTCATCAAAATGAAGCGAGATGATGGCCAAACTATTAGCTAACAGTTACTGCACTCACTCACTTATCCTTCGACTAATTCTTATCAAGTACCTACTATGTGCCAGGCACTAGGTATGGGGGGGGATACTGATCCTCCCCATCTTATTCATGCTGTTTCTCTGGTGCTTGGCACACAGTGGGTACTCAAAGAAGTTTACGAATGATCTAGGAATTAAGGCTTCCTTTACGCACAGCGGACAGCTCGTTTCCTGCTATCTATGGAGGAAATTTCCAGTAGCATCAGGATGCTGTTACTTTTTCCCCTTTGAAAATGAAAAGTTTGATGATCAAGAGCCCTAAGAAAGGAATCCCTGAGGATGTTTAATGCTGGCCTCCCACTGTCCACCCACCACCACGCGTTCTATTTAGCAGCCACACTTATTTTCTCCTTTCCAAACTCGACTCAATGAAATTCAAGACCGTTTTTGGAAGAATCTAATTAGCTCCATTTACAGTATGATTTCTTGGAACCGGGGACAGTTGTGTGTATTCCAAACACATAAATGAAGCTAAAATTAAAACGAAGCCCCTCGTGTTTGTTTCACTATGGTGACGAGCACTGTTGGTTTTAAGGGGACGCTTCACTCCCAGTGAGCTGAGAGCCCGTGACAGAAAGCCCGCTGGAGACAAGGGAGTGGGGCCCACTCATTCTCGGGGCGGCTCCCCATGCCCCTGCCCGTGCTGCTGGGGCAGAAGGGAGCAGTGGCGGCACCACTCATTCAGGTCTACAGACACAAAATGGAAACGCTGTGGTTCTCTGGGTGGGAACCTGCCGTTGATGCATTTCATAAAACCAATTCTGAGGCCTGGAACTCAGGTCTTATAAAACACAGCAATCGCTAATCATCATCATCATGAGAAATACACATGGAGAATTTACCATGTGCCTGAGATGCCTGACACAATGCTAATTAAGCCTTTTTTTTTTTCACACTGCTTCATTAGATTCTCATACAAATCCTGTTAGAAATAATGAATAATAACATCCTTTATCCCCACCTTATTTATCCACATATATATTTTTAAAATATTTTTATTGATTTCAGAGAGGAAGGGAGAGGAGAGAGATAGAAACATCAATGATGAGAGAGAATCATCAAGAGAGGTTAAGTTGCCCCAAATGACAGCCAGCAAATGGCAGAGAAAGAAGCAAATTCAAACCTAGGCCTATCTGTTTCTCAAATCAGTGATTCTTTTTTAAAAATATGTTTTTATTGATTTCAGCGAGGAAGGGAGAGGGAGAGAGAGAGAAACATCAATGATGAGAGAGAATCATTGATCGGCTACCTCCTGCATGCCTCACCCTAGGGTTTGAGCCCACAAC